TATCATTATATATTTTAATCATATAAGCCATCAAACTTTGCAATAAATACAATTTTTAATTAATGTAATCAACTATATATTTTAATTTGAATAAGTTATATAACAAATAAAAAAACTAAATTTTAAAAATTTATCTTATTTGTTGAAACATATGATCATAGCTTTTTTTCTTCCCACCAATAATCCTATATTTTTATCGTCATTCATCAAGTTATTATTTTATAAAAAGTATTCAATTAATTTAGATCAATCAAATAATATTAAAATATCTGAAGCACTTGAAGTTGAAAGTAATGTGATATATTTTGATATATATATATTTATATTTTCTTTAGATCTAGACATGATTATAGACAGAAAGGAACAAAGAAAACAAGACTTTTAATTATAAATTGATTGTAATTATTTATGTATTATATTTATGTATTAGCATTATAGTTGTTAATAAATTATTTTTTATTGAATAAAATTATTTCAATTAAATTTGTTTACTTGATTTTATCTCATTTTTTATTTAAGATATGTAAGAATTAAAACAAAAAAAAGCTTTTGTGGAAGATAATAACATTTTTTCCTATACAATACCCTAATATTTATTTCCATTAATTTTAACTACTTTTGTCATTTTACCTTCATTAAATTTACTGAAATATAATTTTACACAAATATATTATCACTTTTTAAATTCTAATTTATTATTAAAGGCAAATTTTAAAATATTTTGCCTAAAAAACTGGAAACAATAAGATTAATATAAAAGAATTTAAGTTTATTAAGTGTTTTGTTTTCATTCACATGATATTTGATTTAAAATCCTGTGCCTATTCAAATCTTATGAATTCTAATATTATAAATGTAAATGTATTAACAGACCATGCTGGAATGAAAGTTTATTAATGCTTTGTTAACATAAGATTTTATTTGAACTAATTTTATTATACATGCATCACAATTATTATAAAGTAATGTAAGATTTAATAAAAATATTTTGTGATAAGAGTTTGGCTAGACTCTGGAGTAAATAATTCTTTTTCCACTATATTATCTAGCTTTCTTAGTGAATCTTGATCCCTTAGATGTTCATGAGCATATTCAAGAAAAGTATAATAACCATTAAGAGCCTGATTTTTTGTAATTAAATGATCAGATATCTCTAGGTTCCCTTCGTCATTCTCGGAGCTTTCATAACCTTCTATAAAAAATAAGATTAATTAAAATTTTAAGTAATTAAACCTTCCAATTCTAATCTTATCTGATTACAAATATCCTGATCATCCAAAATTCCATGGCAGCTAGCATCATCATCGTGTAACGCATATTTCAAATATGGGATCAAATTCATCTTCTTGGTTTCAGTTAGTGCTATATCATCCTCCGATTCCCAATCAAATGCCATAGACTTATCAAAAAATTTAGTTTCAATAAAACATTTTATGATTGTGGTACTTGTCACCTCACCCCATATAATTTTATAAGATAGAGGCTATCATAAAGTGTAAATCTTTTATAAAAAGAGGTGGTGTCATTTCCTTCCATCAATGTTATCATTTTTCTCATGATACCCTTTCTATAATGACATTTAAAGGATCTAATTGCACCCATGTCCAAAGGTTGAATTAATGATGTTGTATTTGCTGGTAAAAAAAATAAATTTTATATTGTTAAATGTTAATTTTGTTTTGTGACAAGATGCATTGTCACAAAACAATAAAATTTTCTTCATTAATGAGGAATCCCATTCTCTTAGGATATCTTCAAAAGTTGAGGTTGTCATCCAGCTGCTTTTATTGGAGTAGTATTTTACTGGTAATTTTTTATTTTTAAAGCACCTAGGGTTTTTAAATTTCCCTACAACATATAACTTTTTATCAGATCCATCCCCATTTATGATAAATAGAACTGTGACCTTTTCCTTGTCTGGTTTAAAGCCCAGTGGTTGAGTTCCACTAAATTCCATTGTGCCCTTTGGTAATGCTCGGTAGTATAGTCCTGTCTCATCACAATTGTAAATATTACTCCTTTGATAATCTTTAATCAGAGATGGGAGTGTATTTCTGCTCCATTCATTTGCATTAATAATATCTGCACTCCCCTTTTCATTGCAAACATTATGAAAATTTATATTCTGTCTTTTCCTAAATCTCTGCAACCAGCTGCTAGTAGGAATGCCTATAATTTATATATATATATTATAAAAACTTATAATATTGAGTATTAATTTAAATGTTTTGTTACATATTGTGTTGTTTATTCAAATTTGTAAAATAATTTATTGAGTATTAATTTAAATGTTTTGTTACATATACCAGTATATACCAGTCGATGATATACATATTATAATTATTATTATTTTATTTTTTAAAGTAGAAATAAAATTTAATCTAAAACAAAACACAACGTAAAAATTCTTGTTTCTTTTAGTTTGGCTAAAAAACATAGCTTTTTCTAACATCACTGGCCCATTTAGACTGCAATTTTTACTTCGCATTTGGGTAAACCAAACCAATAAAGCTGCTTCTGTCTTTGGGTAACAAGTTATTCTAACTCTTTTAGTTGTAGGAGGTTTATTCCTTAGAAATTGTGAGCATATATTTTCTTTATTCGCTATTAAACGGTAGATTGTCGAGACGTGGCAATTGTAATTTGATGCTAATTGTGTTTTTGATGTAGTGTTTAATTTATCAATTATTCCTTTTTTATGCTTCAGGGTTAATGTTTGGAATGATTTTTTTACCATTTTTATATTAATTTCTGGCGTGGTAATGAATGAATGAATGAATGAATGGAAAAAGGTTAAATAAAAAAAAATGATGAATAATTTTTTTCGATAAATTTTTTTTATTTTTTCACTTATCCGATTAAATTAACGTTATTGTCATATAAATGGGACCTGAAAAATTTTGCAATTATCCGATATTTCGCAATTAACCGATTCGCAATTATAAATAAAATTTAACATTATACCATAGTAATTATTATCAAAATAGCGGGGTTTTTTCGCATTTAAAAGTTTTTGCACTTAAGCGATATGCAATTAAACGGTTTTGACTGTATTATTAATCTTTAATAGTAACAACATATTTTATTTTTACAATCATATAGTGTAATATATTGCAAAAATGACACTACGAATTTAAAATAGGAGTAAAATGAAAGATATAAAACTGAGCCAAATATTAATATCTGAAAAAATTGTTTTTGCAACTAATAACGGAAGCCACTTTATTTTATCATCTACTTCTCCAATATTTTATTGCATTGTTACCATATGTAGTTGGAGCTCTAACCATTCTAAGTTTTGGCCTCCCAATTTTATTCCATATTGTTGAATTAATGATGGTTACTGCTGAAACTGTATCATATTCCATTTCGTATTTGTTTATTAATAGCATAATTGTTAGGTGCTGTCCATATTTATAAACTTTTTTTATTGAGAAATCTGAATTATCAGTTACTATGTAATTTGTACCATAAACATTTTTTCTATTTTTACAACACACGGTATTGTTTTAATCTCTTACATTTACTGCACATTTTTTCGTATGCTGAAAAATTCCGAATAGCATGAAAACGATTATAAAAATAGCACGGTTTTCTTGTTATTATAATTCGTGTGGTAGTTATTATAGATCTGGTTTTCTTTTTACCTATGTTTAATTATCATATTGATACTGCGGATTATCATTAGCATTATACTGCCGATTATTATTATAATTTTGATTTAATCTTTTATCATTATCATTATGTTCAGTCGTTTCTTTGATGTTATAAACATTTTAGTATCTTTTATTTCTAATCGTCCCGTTCCATAGCTAGAGCCATTTCTATTACCTTAACCGTTGCTCTTCGTATCTAGTATCTGGGTTTCTTAAACATAGCTATTTATATATGAGCCATCTTTAATCCAGCAATTAATGCAATTAATTGATCACGTATATTCAAATTCATATCTATGGGCTAGTTCCTTATTTTCTAAATAATTCATTACTAATTCTGTTGGTCTACGACTTAATCTAATAATATCGATGATTGATGCCAAGTCAATTCTTTCAACTTTAAAAAGTTGTTTTGCAATTTTATATAAATCTGCCCATAATAACTTTTATTTGGAAATAGTAATATTTTATATCTGTTTTTATATTTAATCAATTTTTTCAAAGTTGCATCTGTTTGAGTAATATTCTTTACATTCAAATATATTTAATATAATACAAATATCTTAAGAAGTTTCCTCTTTACGAAATTCGTTAAATGTAATTTTTGAAATTCCCATAATTTCTAATTTTTTTTTAAAACAAAAAGAATATATAATTCTATTTAATAACCTGACCGAAACCACGTTTTTTTTATTTCGGCGACAATTTTATATCTTTAAGAAACTTCATAATATATATGGTCAATCTTTATTTTCGATTCTTGTATATATTTATTTATATTATTCCATAATTATTAATTTAAATACTATAAGTATTCAATTTACTGACCTTTTATATAATATTAAATATAAATAAGCTATATTATTTTATGACAAATATATTATTTATTATTGACTTTTAAAATATATGAAATAACATTCTGCTCTATATGATATTAATTTTTTACCCTAATTAATTTCCATTCCGCCAGTTTATATCTTTTTCATGTTAGAGCGGTTTTAAGTTTACTTTACATCCCCTAAGTGGCACGGCCCCAACCATTGACTACAGTATATATTAACTTAATTATAATAGATAATGAATACCCTACACCAATCTTACGGCCATCCGTGTAATTTTATTAACAATTGATTCCAGGGTCATGGCGTCTCAGAATTATATATTTTTTATAAGATTTGCTTATATTCATAACTATTTAATTATTTACTCCTAAAAGTGATACCTTTTTCATAAACCTATAGAAAGGTAAATTATCTAAACAAAAGTATTATTTATTACAAGTGATAAAATTTATTTTAGGAGATAGAGATACGTCAATCATTAATAATGAAATATTTCTATCAAATGACTTAATTTTTTTTTCTCTATTTTTTTCAACATTCAGTTGGTCTAATTATAATATTTATAATAATTAGATAATATAGCTCCTAATGTATTCATTCTTTGCAAAGTCTCAGGAAAATCTATTACCTAATATGGCTCGCAAATTTATTTTAAATCCAAGCAATGTTGATAATGCTATAACTAAACCTTTAGCTTTCCCTAAATCAAAAACTGTAAAATATCCACAACCAAAAAAAATATTACTAGCATCAACTATGGCTAAAAAAGTTATCCCTGGTGAATATAAATCTTGCAATCCTTTTTTTGGTATATATTATGTTTTTATTCATATTTTACATAATGTTATTACTGTTTGCACTTTTAATATTCAATTATGTATGTATAATAACTCAAGCATCTGCCCAGATTAGATTAGCTCACACAGATATAAATTTCCCTAATTTTGATGATTATAGAAGGGTTGATACTTTAGATCCTGAATCTAGTGCAAAAGATACACATGATTCGCGTAAATTATTTTCATATCTCTTTACTGCAGGTAATTTATATTTGATAGAATATTTATAGTTTAAAACTTACTTTTATTATAATATGCTGAGAAATAATTATTTTATATATATAGGTGCTGGTATGGCAGGAGCTTATTCTGCTAAAAATGTTGCTACTAAACTTATTTATACAATGAGCCCTTCTGCTGATGTCTTAGCCCAAGCACAAATAGAAGTTGATTTATCAAGTAATTTTAGAATAAAGCAGGAAATTTGAGTTTAAATATATAAAATGAGCAAATAAAGCATAGATATAATTATTTAATAATAGTATTATTAAAGAAACTAGTTAAATTGTGAATGTAACAACAAAATTAACTATTTTTAAAATATTTTAAATATTAATACATAATATTCATTATCTTTATATTATGATTTCCCATATTCAAAATTGAAAGCTAACACCTTTTTAACACCAACTTTGTAAGTAGTTTATAATTTCCCTTTAAATACTTCTATAGGCTATGATTTAAAAAACCCTAGGCTAGACTGGGTTTGAAAATGAAAAGAAAAAGGATCAAGTCAGATCCTAAAAATATGACAACTATGGGTATTTTATATAAATTATTAGTTTGGTAATATTCATATTTGTGTGAATAATAAAACTATTTGATTTGATTCAAAAATTTAATTTTTTAAAAAATAACATCAAAAATGGAAAATTAGAGCAATTTACACTGCTCAAAAGAGTAAAATCTTTACATTTAATGTTACTCCTTAAAAATAGGAATGTCTACTGTGAAAATAAAATTGCATAACTTGTTTTCTTTTATTTCATCAATCAATATATATATTTTAGAGATTTGGCCAGTCCACCCCTGGATCCCTATTAGAATTTGGTGATTGTGAAAATAATAAACAGAAGTAACAGCATTAAAAAAATCATCTTTAAATTGAATAAAATATTGGATACTATCGATCAGTTATAAATATAATAATGATGCTGTTGAACAGATATGCAAATAAATTTAAACTTATATATTTAATTGAATTAAATTTGCATTCTATATACAAGGAGCAAATGTTTTTTTTGTATAAGTTTCACTTCTGCACTCAGCTACCTAATTTAATAATCTTAGAATCCAGTACCCAGAAAAGATAATTGGATCTGATACATATCTATATATGTACTGCCACTTTCTTTTTTAACAATTTTTTATAATAATTTTTAATGGCAATTGTTTTACAAAGTTAATCCCATAAACAATATTATTTATCTCTCATCATTACTTTTTTTTGTGCTAACACCCGTTCAATAAGTGCTGAGGGTGGTCGGTAGGGGTATTATATTTTATAAACTTGGTTTTAATACTTGGAATTTAAGCCTTCCATTCTAATCTAACGTTTAAGCATTAAACAATAAAATAAAATAATTAAAATATAAAGGGTTTCTTTAATTCATAAATTTTTTTTAAAAAAAATAGTAACGCCATTACCTCACTTACTAAAATTAACGCGTCTAGTAACGACGTACTTTTGTAACGCGTAACGATACAGTACTAAAAAAATGAATTCTTTGAAAATTTTTTAAAATAAATTAATAGGTCGAATATGTAAAAACTATCATTTAATGAATTTTTTTCTTCTTTTGATGATTTTGGAATTTGTAAAATACGATTCGAATAATTCGCGTTAACACTTCACGGTTAGCGCGAATTCGCGGCGAAGAATAACAAAACAGATGTGCCGATATTAAATATCGGATCGACACCGATATTTAGCCTTTTCAAAAAATATCGAGATCCTATCCGATATTTTTTTTTATTTTATTAAAAATTTTATAACAAATTAATGAAAAGAACTAAAATACAATTTATTTGTTGTAATGTTTAATAATAAAATAGTTACAAATTTTGCACTATTTTTTTTAAATATTATCTTGCAACAAGAAAAGTATTTTAAAATATCTAACGAGTCTCAGCAAGTGTTGTTAAACGGCTTGATTTAGCCAATTTTTTAAAAACGTTTAGCTCAAAAATTTTGGCCAAAAGTAAATTACTCAAGCTTATTAATTTTGTTCACAGATGTCGGAGAAATTTGGACTTTTATTAGCGAAATTGTTAAAATCTTGATTTGGCTTTATTTATTTTTTTAAATACTCCAGTCTCATTGTTTATATTATAAGCCCTCCTGCCCAATGATTAAATTATTTTAAAATCGCCCATCTCAGACCTCTAATGTAAATAATTTATATATAATGTAATAAATTGATGAATCTTAATATTATATCCTAAAAAGCTATCCCAGAAGGTAAAACCGTGATTCTTAAATGGAGAGGTAAACCGCTGTTCATAAAGCATAGAAGTGTTGCCGATATAACCAAAGAGGAATCGACAGATTTTAGCAGTTTAAGAGATCCCGAACCTGACTCTGCCAGAGTGCAAAAACCGGAATGGCTTATTTTGATAGGCATTTGTACTCATTTAGGTTTTATAATTAATTCAACATTCATTACATTATAATATATTGTTTCTGTAAAAGATGTAAATTTATTTCATAAGGGTTTAGCTAGTCCCGAGACGTCATTTGACCCCTGTTTTCTTTCTGCAGAATTATATTCTAGCATGATTAGAGTTTTTAACCTTGTGAATTTCAGGCTTTCACCATAAATTTTTGTTTACTATTTTATTCTTATGAAAAAAAAAATCCTTAGGCTATGATTTTTTTTGAGCAGTAAATTAATCAAAATAGGCAGTATTTTTATTGTCAACAAATTAATCTTTTGGGCAGTAAATTAACAAATAAATGGGAATTTTTTTATCAAGAAAATTAATCATTTGGGCAATATTTATAAAATATTGAGCTGTAAAACCAAAAACTTTCAGTATTTATTTAATCAAGTTGTTTAGTATTTATTACTACAAATACATTTTTTATATGAAAATTAACATATAAATATATAAAAATTACTAAATTAACAAATAAATATATTAGAAATGAGATCCATAAAGGAAATTCCCGTTTTTGTTAAATATTGTGACATTGAGTAAATCTAAATGAAAATAATTTTATAAATGCTATATGTTTTAAATAAGATTGAGCAATTGCAGATTCCTTTGCCCTAATCATCTAATTTTTTTTAAAACTGCCTATTTAATTTAAATACTGCTCAAATCAATTAAAAAAACTTTAGATTAATTATTGACTTACCATTAAATTTTAATATCTACCAAATGTTTTTTTATACTGCCCTATTGTGATTAATTTAATTGTACATGTCATTTAAAAAAAACTGCCCAAATAAATTGTCGTCTATGTGAAATGATAGAAATTTAAGTTTAGTTCATATAGGCTCAATGCAAAATTGTCTGAAATTCATGGCGTTGGTATTCTATACAAACTGGAATGCGATTATGTTCCAACCTAGGTAAATTGCCGTTACAACAGCTGATATTTTAAAATTTATAATCTATTGACCTATCATATTTTACAAGTTATTAATTAAAACTTTAATTTTATTTTTTAAAAAAACCCATCTTTAATATATCTTAACCCTAACCCATATCTCTTTAATCCTACTCTTTACTTCAGATACTTGTTTAATTTGAAATACATTTAATCCAATTTTTAAAAAATCTCCTTCAGTTGTTGAACATTTCTTGGGTTGTGCTCTTATCGTGGATTGCGCTTCCGATAAAATCAAGCGTTTCAAAATTTTTTTAAAAAAACGCGAGCTTTAAAAATGACTTAAGTTTTACACATATGCCATATAATAAAACAGATTTGTATACATTTTGTCGACTCAGTATTATAATGTTATATATCTACTTTTTTTGCAAAATGCTTTTTTTTTTGGATAAATAAATTCTTCAGTACTATTTTATATATACAGAATGAGAAAAAAATAACAGTATGGCAGAATGTTTATTAATTAATTATTATTATTAAAAAAATATACATAAAAATGGATTTCGATTGATTTTAGATATAACCTTTTTTTTAAATTTTATAACATTTTATTTTTGTTAAAGACGCCATTTCATACCGTATAGGAAAATTTTATAAATTGGCCGATAACCGATATTTTAAAATGGGTGAAATATCCGCCCAATCCGATCCGATAAAAAATAGTTATATCCCTATATATTTATATAGCCACAATAAAAATGTAAAAATATAATTGAGAATTTACACGATGATCACAAATTTAAAAATGCAAGAAATATATTTATTTTCCTAAAAGCTCACCTGAACAAATTTTTAAAAAAAATGAATATAGATCATTATAATATCATTTCTTTATAATTTATTTATCTACTCTAAAAAAGAAATGGAAGGAAAATTAGGGAAGACAAGGTGGGGATAATTATTTGAACTCCTTTTTTCTTTTGATTTTTTTCTTCTCATTTATCTTATAATATTCCTCATTTATTTATCAGTTAATATTTTCTATATGTATTTATAATTTTAAACAAAAATTTTAACACTAATCAAGGTTGCATCCCTATAGCTAATGCTGGTGATTACCCTGGTGGATTCTATTGTCCTTGTCATGGCTCGCACTATGATGGGTCCGGTCGCATAAGAAAAGGACCCGCTCCTCTCAACTTGGAAGTGCCTCCTTATGCTTTCACCACTGACACTTCAATTGTTGTTGGTTGATAAGGGAAAGGGAAATAATTAAATAAAAATTTGTTATTGTACTACAGACTTGTAAAACAAAATTTAACCATAAATTTTATCCCTTTCCTTCCCTTGTTTCATTTATTTTTTATATTTAACAATTCGCATCAAAGTTAGATTAACGGCTTAGTAAATAATTCGTGAATTTAAAGCAAAAATATGTTATTTTTTTAAAAATATCCCTTACTAAGAACCATGGCTATCCATACATTTCTTGAAATTTAATTTGTGTTAACCAGTGATTTTTGTCTTTATGAGGATTAGGTCATTGGATTGAATATTCTAAACTTGTTTTAATTTCAAAACTATTTTGGTAAGATCCATCTCAATCGCTAAATGATACTCTAGTTTTTGTTTCTATTTTTTAAAAATTTTTTTAGCATCTTTTTCTCATACAGCATTGATCGGATTCACCAATGCGCTTGAGGTCCGATTTGGCGGCACTAAAGATTTTTTAGTTAATTATAAATATCATCTGGTTTTAAATGATTTATATTAATATTATTTATTTATTTAATATTTGATTTATTTTTTGCAAAACTGTTTTTATTATATTATGGCATGTGTGTGAAATTTAGATAATTAATAAAATCTAATTATTATTTTTTTTATTAGTTAATCTATAATATAAACTTATTTTTAAACAATCAGGACGTGTTCCAGATCACCATTTTGTTCTTAATTCTCCATTTTATTCAGGATAGATGCCTGCACAATTTTTTTTAGATGGTAAATTCTTATATAAGGTAATAATATTTATTTGACTGGTAAAAGAAAAAGTTCCATTTATTTTTGGATTTTAAATATTAATTTAAGTTAATTATTTTTGAACATTATTATATTCATTATTTGAAACACTTGTATTTGTATAATGTTACCTTATAAATAATATAATGCGAATTGAGGATTTAGTATCAAACAAAATTTCCAATTCATTTATTTTTCATTAAAACTCAAAAAATACAGGCAATATTTATATATAATTTTAATCAAAGGAAAAACATTTTTTCTTTCCTTTAATATTAATTAATTAAGAAAATAAAATAAATGAAATCTACATTATTACTAATAGTGAAATTTATCTATAAATAAGAAAGCACAATACGCCCACCCTTAAAAGGCCAAGCGCCATTACATTCAAAAAATAATAAATATCACATAATATAAATCAGTTACTCATATGATTTTAAAAAAAATAAGTTCATTCATTCTGTGGGATTGATTGTCTGCCTGATTGTGTCCTAGCTCCTCATTGATCATCCTAGTAAGCAATGTCACTTAATAATTCATACCGATTATTTCTTAGCATCTTGTTAAACATGTTTCAAGATCATATATATAAGTATTGTTTGAGTTGAATTTCATCGCCCATGTATAAGTATAATTTTGACTTATTTTTTATGGATTTAAAGGAATTACTTAAAAAAATTTTAATACTTGTTTTTGACACGTAGAATCTGTGAACCCTCCATTTTTAAATAGTGTGCAGGTACGAGAGTAAAGGGTCTGAGTGCGGGTTCACATCCCTGACGGTGATATAGTTGTAATCATTACATATATGTGCTACTTCTGCAAATTATAAATATATGATGTTTACGAATTGCTGCATAGAGTCGATAATGTTAGAAAATGTTTAATAACAAAAATATTGTAAAAAAAAATTGAAAGGGTGTCACGGTAGTAAAAAAAATCGACTTACAAAAAATATTTATCAAAGTATTTCTTTGTGCTAAAAGTTTCTAACTAATATTTGCATTTAAATACTTTATTAAAAATATTTTGTAGCTTTTTATTATTTAAAATGTATTTTTTTTATTTGAAAATTTGCCCTACCCTGCTTGTATAAGGTATATAAATATAATTAAATCAGAATGTGATCAATTCCTTTATAGATTATTAGAATTTAACTTTATTCTGGCACTGCAACGAGAGCAATTTTGCGTTCCATTAGCAAAGATTTATTTTGTAATTTAGTCAATGACACATAATACTATCAAAAAGGACAAATCATTTGTTTAAAAATAAGCTGGTGAGACGCTTTCCCATTATATATTAAATAATAATTTTATTTATTTATAAAGATTCTTATATCGGAAACAAAATGGCATGCTACCGTTTATTCAGCGATGTTTTATAAATTAGGTTGTTACATAGTGTTGAACGTTAATAATTTTTTATGTGTTTTATTAATATTAGTTAATGTTATAAATTTATCCTTATATAAAATTATTTTTGATACATTCTAATGCCTGTGACATTGGCGATTCAGTGCGTACTTCACACTGATAGTTTTGGGTATGGATCCAGCATAGATCATATTTTTGGAAAGCCAATTAGGTGGTTCCGTCATTGGGAGGGGGGGGGGGGTCATAATATAATAGATCGGTCTCCACCATGCAGCGTCTACATGAGCGGGAGGGGTAGGAACAGTTTGCATCCTATTTTTTTAAGAGGGTAGGGGGTAAACTGCTTTAATTGGGGTAGGATAAATTTTTTGGGGGGTTATCTATTAAATTTTGAGATGAAATAAGACAAAATTTATTGCTGTAAAAATTAATACTTTTATTATAGTATTATTATAATACAATTCATCGACCAAATCTATATATTGTAAACTACAAATAAACTATCCTTTTAAATGTAATTTAAAAGGTTTAGATATTTCAACAAGCTCATATGACATAATAATTAATTCATTGTAAATAATATAGGTTTTATTTGAATTTATTATCTAAAAAATAAATTCTTTATATTCACAAAATATCGATAGTTGGTAGTAGAGATAGATTAATTTAAGTTATTCTTTATAAATTCTTTTAAAAGAGTATCAATAAATAAATAGGTGAAAATAATAATAAAAAGACACCGCCGCCGAAGGCGGCGTAAATTTTTAGGGGGGTAGACAAAGGTTTTTGAAGGGGGTTTGCATCCAGTGAAAATCCTGCCATGTAAACGCTGCCACCATGCGATTCAGTTAATATACATTAAAATAAAATGGGCATTAATGCACTTTATTAAATTTTTATCGTCATTTAGCAAGTGGACTAACGTCGCTCAAAAATTATTTTAACGAAATAATACATCAGTTTAGAACTTACACAATTCCCATATATACTTCTAAATAATATGTGTATATATTCGAAAAAACTCACGAAGTTTTATTTTGCAAATTAATAAAGGACTGCTCGATCAATCGCGCAGATCCCCGAATCACAATATATTATTGAAGCTTATGGCATGCATAGATAACAATATTATCATACGGTATTATATAAAACTAAATATATAATCTACATTTCAACATTACTTGATTGTCATTTGATTAAATAAATGCGTAATTACATAATTTTATGCCCATTTATATATTTAAATAATGAAACGCTTTATAATGGATATATGTATTTTATTGTTTTATATTATATCTTAATTGTTTATGAAATTTGAAGGTTCAAATTATTCTGTTGATAAAGTTATATTTTTCTTGTATTACATACATATACTATATTGTCTTGTCTCTTTCTATTGTTTTTCACTGTTCAATTAATTTGCCGGAAAATGATATACAACTAAACCACTTTCTAAACAATTACCAAAATATTTTTAATTGCAAAAGACCCATTTATTTCTAAATATATGTCAACAAAACCCCATGATCAACTCTGATTTACTCTATATCACCTCCCTAAGGATGGAACCACCTGATTGAGTTTAGAAAATATATGATCATTGCTGAATTTGAACCCAGAATTATTGTTACATATGAACTAAACCGCTGGTTAGACTCAGAAACATCAAACTACTGTATATATAAGAATAAAATTATAAAAAAATATATAATCAAAACGTAAAATCTATACATCTTTAATCTAATTTACCCTCTACAAATTTAAGTCGGAAGAAATTTTAAACATTCATACATACCTTAAATATGAAAAATGCTTCTTTTTTGCCCAAATTGTCATAATATGCTATTTATTGAGGAAGATTCTTCTTCTTCAAGTGATTTTAGATTTTCATGTCACACATGTCCATATATTTTACCATTAACTGGACAAACTATTATAAGCAAACGAAGATATCCAAAATTAAAAAATTTAGATGATGTCTTAGGTGGATCTCAAGCATGGGAAAATGTAGATTCAATTGATTCGGTAACTTGCCCTAAGTGTGAATTGAAAGGTGCTTATTTTATGCAAATACAAACTAGATCTGCTGATGAGCCAATGACCACTTTTTATAAATGTAAAAATGCTGAATGCAATTATCAATGGAGAGAATAGTTTTAAATATTTTGCATATATTTGAACATTTTAGTTTGTAAAAAACAATTAATATAAAGAATTTATGCAATAATATGTAAACAAATTTGAGATATCATCTGAGTGCTACCAACACTTATTTTTTTACTCACATTGATACTCATCTTTTAAATATAGTTTTAATATAATATACTTTTATAAAATAGAATTTATATCAAATTATAATATGTATGAAATGTAAAAATTCAAACTATTTAAGCAAACCCACATGTCTAAAATTTATATTATGAATGAAATGATATCAATTAATAAATTTCTTATAAAGCAAACTGTTTATTCATTATATAAGATATGTCATTTTTGATATTATTTATTAAATTATCAATTTTAGAATTACTTAATATATGAAATTTAAAATAGACATACTTTTTTTAAATAAAATATTAATTTTGCTATAGTATCAGCATTTCTATACCAAACAAAAGCATTATTGTGAAGAAAACCTTTATAATTTCTTGAACTTAAACCAAATGTTATACTGATTTGTCAAAGGAACCTGGTTTAAAACTTATATTTTATTGTAATTTAGAACTTTTTTAATAATTGATCATTTATTTATAATTGAAATTTTACCTTTCCCTAAAGTGATTTGTTAATTACATTTTTTAAATTCAATTCTACAATCTGTACAGTGGCATATTACTAAGCATTTGTTAATAGGAGTTCCAAAGTTTGGAACCAGAGTATTCTCCCCAAACCACCTTTTTGCAGGCCTCCCTATCACTTCTGTTTATAAGTTTATTAAAATCTACTAATTCATATCTATTTATGAGTATATTGATTTAAGAATATTTCATCTTATATTTATTATAGTTGCATGTCATACAAAATATAATTAATTCATTCAGAGTTGGGCAACTATGATTATATCTACATAAAACCTTTTGTAGCTTCTACTCTGTATCCTTTTGACATATTTAATAGATATATATATATATATCTTTATCTAAGATGCAAAAGAATATTTTTTTCATTTTTTTGAAGAAAAATATAGATTCCTACCTATTATCATATTTAAAAAAATAGTGCTTATATTTAGATTACAACAAAAATTAATTTAAAAATTTACAACTTACATCAAGATAAATAAATTACACCAAAACAAAATAAAAGCCTACATTTTATATATTGTTTTAGCTGAAAAGAATACCACAATTATATACAATTTATTTTATTTGTTGGATTATTAAGACCCATGATAAGGAAGATTAATGGGTACTGAAATTATGAAAATATGTTCATTTGAATCATAACAAAATTGTCGAATTCGAGGCCATGCTAGTGGGCTATTCATACTTCGGGGTGGGGGAAGAATCGATTAAGTTTGATGGTCCGGGATTTAGAAGGATAAGGAGGGGTATCCGGTTTTGCTGGTAGTTTGTTCATTGTGTTAGAATCTACTAAAACTTCACGCAGGTAATAAAGATAACAATAGTTGCACCTCGGTATCAGAGGTTTTTTTATTAATAAAAAAAAGGAGGTACCCAATTTTCTTAATTGGACAATAATTATTTATATGGCTACTAACTCCCATGTTCTATGACAGTGACAGCTCCCGCCATACTGTAGTATGCGTACGGATTTTATGCTAAATTAATATTAAAAATGACGAATTTCTCTGCATCGCAATTTGTGTGACTTTATCTTAAATTAACCTTAAAGGGGAACGGATTTCTGCACCACAGTATTATTTTACGACTTTTATCCCAAGCTACTTTGAAGAAGAAGGAATGAATTTCTCAGCACTGCAGAATAAGTGTGGCTTTCGTAACAGATTTCTCGGCATCACAGTATTAGTGCGGATTTCATCCTAAATTAATTTGTAAAAGAAGGAACCGATTTCTCCGTACCACACTATTAGTGTGGCTTTCATTTTAATTTATTTTAGGGGGCGGTATGGGGCCGATCTATGGCCACTGAGGATTTGCTTAAGATGTCAAGTAAGTTAAAGGTTTGAGTTTCCTTCTTTAATAATTACATATAACACAATTAATTAAAAAAAATTTTAAGGAAAAAATTGTTTGTCGAAAAAGTAAAAAAAAAAAAGCATAATTTCCAAAACATAATAGAAATAATAATTTTAGACGCAAAATGTTTTAAATTATTTTAGTAGATAGAGTTAAAGTATCAGCTAAAGGTCAATAAATGGCACACACTATATTTAGTTTCTACATACGAAGGCCTTTTTTGCAATATCAAACTCAAAGCCTCTTTGTAGGATTAACTATGGATTGGAAAATGTACAAGTATTGAATGCACGTGGAACCCAAAACTTGAGGAAAGAAAACGGGTAATCAGTTGAAAGATGCATGCATATCCAGGTGGAATAGCCTATATGAGAATACACCTTTATGTTTAAATATAAAACACATTAAGTTGTGTAAATTAATTTTTTTAATTATTCTATCATAATATTATAACACTATAAAAACAAAATACAATTTCATAATTGTGCTCCTAAAAATGAACCGTAATTATATTAAAAAATTTTTTATTTGAACTTTTTGATGAATATATTAAAATTCTTTAACTTTGTTGGTAAAATGCCGAATTTTCCTAAAAGTACTCTAAAATTTTATGCCCAATAGCAATTGCATTAGACAAATTACAAGTGCAAAATAGTTCTTTTATTTGTAGTTAAGAGGGATTTGGATTAACTTGAAAATTCAAGTTTCCAATATTGCCAAGTTGTCCAAGATGCCATAGGAAAAAGATTTTATAAAGTTTTTCAATCACTATGAATATAATGAGGAATCATGGGCATCATTATCATGTCTAGGCCTATTTAATGACGAATCGAACAATAAGTTATTCCATTAATAGCAAATTATTCAATTCGTTCAAAAGAATCGAATGCGAATACATTCCTTTTTGAACAGGATCAATCTATCACGTATATATACTTTAAAAACTTTGAGTCAGATGCTTAAAAATAATATGAGAAGCTCTAAATTTAGTACCAGTACATAATCAAACTACAATGCCGTCATATTTAACATCTAATGATTAATAAAAAAAGATTATTATTTTTTAATTTAGTAAAACAAATATTTCTGAAATTTAATACAAATACTGTTGAGCTAGGGGGAACTGAATTAAATGGAATACAATAAAAACATTTAATTATTATCCTTCAAATATATTTTCCTAAATTGAAAGGTTATCTAGTTTTGTACAATCTTTATTGCTTCAAACAATAAAAAAGGAAGAAAGGATTCAAATTCACAAAGTTTATTCTTTCAAAAACATACATAGGACATAGGAGTAAAAAATTGAGATATTAGCAGGCGAAAAGCTTATTTGTTACTGGATACTAACATAAAACTAGGAGTGCCAGTGGGGCTTTAATATGGCAAGCCATGTTTTTAAATAGTTTCGAAAATTAAAAAAATTTGGCTATAATCTGTTGTGTCTTTTTTCCAGCTTTCTCGCTTACTTTCTTCACTTTTTCTCTATTAATTTTTGGAATCACGGTTAGATATTTCAAAGCAGAATGACCAGGATAGAAGTAGTAACCCGAACAAAAAAGACTGAACAAGAATATCCAATGATAAAAAAGAAATTGGCAAAAATACCCCAATTTCAAAAAAAAAAAACTTAAAAAGTTAAACATTTTTAAAAATACTCCTTTTTAAGTATTTAAACAAATTTATAAAATAAGGCGGTATCCTTTTTCCATATTCGAATTTCTGATATAATATCTGAATCATTAAATTTATGAGGTGAGAAACGTTATTACACAATTGAGAAAGTTTTTTTCAAAAATGTTTGCTTACATTTAATTAGATATAGTAAGCAAAGCAACCCATTATCTTCAGATCATGCTTGAAATTTTTCTTTCAATTAAATCCCATTAATTTACAAGTGATCTGTTTTCTTATGGTTACTATTGTTGAGCTTAATATAGTACATTTTGTAATAACTATAAATTTATATAAGAAATTTGATGCCTTTGCATCGTCAATCTAATGGTAATTGCTATGTGAAAATCAAATGGCCTATTCAATTCTTACTGGATCAATATTTTAGGTAATTTACAAATAATTTTCGAAATATTTGGGTAAAATGTAGATGTTTTATAAATATCGTTTATTTTGTTATCAACATCAATTCTATCTCTTAATTATAATATTATACTTAAACCCTACTTATTATATACGCTTGTTAGTATAGTTGGGTAATGGCTAATATGGTCGGTTAATTCAGCAATGGCTAATAATGTTTGTTAATTCAGCCAATCTAAAGAGAAGAGAAGAGAGGCGTGTTCAGGAAAAAATTCGTTAACATTAAGGCGATTCAATATATTTTAATTTCTTTCAAATTTGAGCAACTATATTTTTGAAAAGAACCCCGCGGCCAAAGCGATAGTTTTCGTAAAAACTAGGTTTACCCGATATTTTAGCGGGATAAAAATTAGCTTAAACGGCTAAAAATATAGTAATTATCCAACCTGACATAGAAGTTTATGAATTTAATTGAAACAATAACTTTAAATTAAGTATCAAAGATTTATCCCCAACAAATTTATAATTGAAAAATTTCTGCCTTCGCCAAATTGAAAGTTTTTAAAACATTTCTGAATTTTATAAAAACTCTTATAAAGCATTTGCCAAACTTAAACCGCTAAAAGTCATGTATAAGTAATAGTTCAATCTGGCTTGTAGTAGTGGAAGGATGGTGACTTCTCATAAGATTGGATGGAGATCGATCCGCCAGTATTGATTGAACTTTTAATTTTTTATGACATAAACTAATAATTGAAGAAAATAGTGCCAATTAAACTTACGTTAGAGGTCTAGAAAGCATAGATTTTTTATAATTTATATTATCTTAAATTTATAAAATTCTTGCATGGTTTAAAAAAAAATGATTTATAATATCTTAAATAAATTTAAGATAAGAAATTAATGTAACAATAGACTTATTTTTATAGCAAAATAATTGTTTAAATGGAATTGTTTTATGGCGTTGAACAGAGTAAATTTAAAAATACCGTGTGAATCATCATTTAACTATTTTAATCCTTGATTGGAAAAATATATATATAGAATGAAATAATCATGATATATTAGTCCATTATATTTACATCAATTTCCAGGCATATAAATTTGTAATAATAGGGTAATATATCATAAAATTCCATTCATATCTTCGAGCGATCAAAAAAAAATAATGATTCAGTTTCCATCCTAAATTCCAAGTATTCATCGCTATCAATTCAATTTATTTGATATGATTTAAGTGATATTCAAAAAATTGAAATAAAAAAGCAATATAAATAAATTAAATTTATTAGCAATTTAAATTTTTAGCAAAAGGTAAAAGAAAAAATATGGCAAAAATATCATCAAAGGTTATATAATAAATCAACTCTTTATTTGATATAAACTTGAATAAAAAAAACTATTCCATATAAATAAGGGAGTTTTAAAATAATATTTCTTAAAATATAAAATGTTCAAAATTTCGTCAAAATTTGTCTTCCATTTCTTGTTATTAATTGGTTTAGGCTGTCATTTAGGCCTAATATTATCATCAACAGCGGGGAAAGATATGGATACTGAAGAATATGAAGGTGTGAATATATCAACCTATTTTAACCGCACTGAAAGTAAAACATTTAACAAGACCATTATAATTGAGACTGAAGATGGCGATTCTAATGACAGCGATACTACTGTAACGCTCCACGAGATAGTAACTCCCTCTTACCGAGAAACAACTTTGAAGCATTTAATATTTACTCATCGAAATGCTAAAACTCCTGAAAGACATATTAAAAAGACTATTGAGAGTGAGTGAATACAAATTATATATTTTTTAAAATTTATCTTATTTGTTTAAGCTTCCCTTCCTTATATTTGTTTAATATTTAATGTCATATACTCATAAATTGAATATGATTAAGAATCTAACGCTTATAAACAAAATATATTACAAAATTATCTTTTAGCATTATAAGCCTGCAAAAACAAAATTTAATAATAAAAATAATATAGAAAATTATGAGACTAAAATATTCAAATTATCCATCGAGTCCAATAATTTCTTCTTTATTACTATGATCTCTTTCTACGATTAAAGGAAACATTAATTTTTTTTATCCAATAAAGGAACTAGGTTTAAATATCCTCACGCGACCAACAAATTTCCTTATCAGGATAGGAAAGAAAAACAAGTAGAACCGCTATCCCAGTATATGCCAAGCACGCTCTTTGCAGAATTTGAATCCATGAGAATGCCCTATGTTGGTGCCTTTTTCAAGTTCTTAGCAGAACAGTACGAAGATATTCACGATTATCCCAAGTTTATAATATATTTGTATTGCCGTTTAAATTTAAAATATACTAAGGTATACACTATAATACTATTTTATTATTTCTTTTTAAAAATAATTTTTTAATTGCATCGTAAAGATTTTATAGAAATTTTGGGTTAAAAATTTTTTGCTATTATCGCAATGAAAGATATATTAATATTTTCAATTATCCCTTTTTTTTCGCTAGAGACATGTGTGGAAGCCGCTTCTGTAACCGTTGGAAAGTTATTTGCAAAAATAAATTTTACGAAGTCAGAAAATATGAAAATATCACAGCGGTTGAAAGTTCATCAACTGGTAAAATATTTTTATTTTATAAAATACAAACTTGATATCATTACCGATCTCTCGTTCGACAATTAAAATATTTTGATAAATATTATAGTCCCACCTAACTAAAAATAAAAATTCTCTTCAATTAAAATGAATACTTTTATCTCAGTTTATATTTTTTAAACATCAAACATTCATTCACTTCGCTTCTCAAATTTATTTTAATTTTCTATTTGTAATTAAATCATTGGTTAATGAAAATATTTGCAAGGTTGGGCCTCGGACAATGATGAAGGGATTAGTTGAACCATAATTTTAGAATATGAAATCAAGCCAGGAAATGTAATTTTTTTTAAAAACAAAGTTGGGACTGGCACTGTAAAAAAAAAGTAACCTGGGACATAAGTTTCTAATAAATTTTTTTGTAGTTATATATTTATTCAAACAAATTTTATTTATTTAACAAAGGAATAGAATATACTCAAAGTGGATTGAACAAAGCTTTCGAGAGAATTTTCCGTTATCTCAATGGAGAAAATGATAAAAGTAAATAACTAACTTCATGTTTGTATTTTTTTAAAAATAATATTTATTTCGATAGGCTTGAGTTGAATAATATATTTTTTTTTGTATAATACCGGTATTAGGATAAACTCCTATAGTCATTTAATAATTTACCCTCTTTTATTTTGCACAAAACTAGAATATTATATTTATTATATGGAAAATTTATCAATCTTTTTTCTTAATTTGTAATGCGAGATCGGTTGACTTATTTTTTAAAAGTGCATTATTTTAAATATACATTACCCCCCCCCCCCCTCCCCTTAACCTAAATCATCTCTATGGAGTTCTAACCATAATTTCGTTGAAGGATTGGTTTCAGGAAAAAAAATTATAATAAAATTTCACTTACCTCATACTTTATAAGGTCAAGAGTCCGTTTTTATATACCTCTTCCAAATTACCCCATTAACTCTTATGCGATAAGTGGTAGAGGCCTGAAAATGGCTAAATTTTTAGATTCGGTCCGACCTGGTGATATTACCCTTTTCCCGGCCCGGCTGAATTGATACCCAGTCCATTTCCAATTTTCAAGATTACCCGATTCGGCTCAGTTTTTTAAATACAAGGCTTTAACCCCAAATATATGTAATTGAAGACCAAAATAAACAATTATCTATAATATTGGATAATGTTTAATTTAAAAATGTTACACTTTGGAAGACTGTCAAGGTAACAACTAATAAGAATACCTTTATAAAAAAAATTGTCCAGAACTCAATGATATGCCCCCAACTTTATGAATTTCTTAATTTCATACCTTCCATAGATATAATCATCAATATGTCAACTCCGATATTTATTTTGCCGCTTGTCGCTACAATCCGTGATCCTAAACAACAAATTTTCCAACTTTTAAATAACAAGGAAGGTCCATCGATCTCTATGGATATACCACCTCAATATGGACCTAACCCTCCTAAACCTACTAATACCATGGTTTTCATAAAATTAACTTGAGTAAAACGTGTATAATTTGGGCTCTTGATAATTCTGGGAAATCCTTAGTGTGTCGAATTTTGGGTCCTAATCAAAATCCTATAAATTACCAAGTAGTCAGTGGTGTTAGAGAGGTGGAAGGATGACATGGTCAAAAATATTTCGTAAACTTGTTAAATTAAGATTTCACGGAAAATGTCCTTTAATAAGGTGACAATTATTAATATCCCTTACTCATAGGATATAATTGAATTTTTATGTTAATATAAGTAGTTGCATAATGCATTCCAAGCTTGGCAATTTTTTTGGGACTTAGTATATTATTAATCTCAATATATAATGCAAGATAGCAATAATAATAAAAAAATTTTAATCTTGAAAGATATAATTTTTCTGTTTGCATTAAAATAACAAAAATATTTATTTATAAAAATACATATTTTTTTTTAAAAAAGATTTTGGTAATTTTTGGGTAGAATTTTTATCAAAAATCTATCATTTTCAAAAAAAAAAATAATTCAAATATTTTTTCAAACTCTATTCCTTTTTTATTTCAGAATTAAAATATAAAGCCCTCTAAATTGAAAGGAAAAACAGAACGGGTTAGATCTCGTGACGCCTCTGAATGATTGTTGACAAAACCATGATAGAACACAAACAGTCATAACCCGCGGGAGGGGGGTGAATGGTTCCAACCGGACCGAATATTTAAAATTTTAATATATGCAAATATTATCCCAATAATAATATTTGATATTCCCTGAATTATTAATCGAATATTTCAAATAAAAAACTTCAATTAAAGAATATTTCTATTATTTCAAATTATAGAGTCCTGAAAAATAAAATAACATTGTCCCGAGCCCGGACCTACCCTCGAGTTTATTTGTATGTTCTTGCCCTGCAAAAATTTTGTCTGGCCCCATATTTTTTTTTGTTAATTTAATAAAATATATATATATAAGTTAAACAATCACTTAAATGCGTCGTCTTCTTAAAACACATGTTTTTATTCAACCTTCAAGGGAAGAATTTGCTTATTCTAAATGAATTTAATCATCATAAAACACCAAATTTATATTCGATAACACGTTCATATTTGTGTTTTTTTTATTATATTATTATTATGATAACCTCATACATATTATACCCTAAAATTATCTTGTTTGGATTATTAAATATTTTGTATAATCAAAATACTGACACACTTTAATTATTCTTTCTCAGGCTAAAAACGCGATATCAAATAGTCCTAATTTTCTATAAAACAGAGTTTTTTTAGGTTTATAAAGTTCAAGGAATTTAATTAACATTCTATATTTTGAACTAAACTAGGTTAGAATAGTTAAATATGTAACTCCAGTGGCTTACGTAAGAATGTTCGGTGGATACGCCCTCCCTACTACTTTCATTTCCAAGGCGAACGAATTGCTCAAAATTTTGGAATTAAACAAGCAAAAGATCACACACACACCTGTTCACACTATCTACAACTTGTAAAATTGATAATTAATTAGCTAATATTTTATTTCAAATATCAAATATTATTTTAACCGATATTTTAATTTGTTATTTATCCGGTTTGTTTTTTTTAATCAGGGTGTAATAAAAAACGACCCGCAAAGTAACTTTCTTAACCATAACTGAACTAACCTAATTCGAACAGGATTAAAGTGGGTTTATAAAATTAAATATATTTTTATAACCTGAATTGAAGCAAATCGGTATGAATGAGTGGTTTACTTCACAGTCTTCCTTTCTTTCTTTCCTTCTTCTCTATTTCTTCAGAATTTTCATTAATACATCAGTAACTATTTTTTAAACCTAAAATATCTTTATTAGTATATCGGAGGGGGAGGGTCTTTGAAACTCATATATGCAAAACAAATAAAAATCGATATAAATTCCTCAACCGAAACAGACAGATATAGATTATTTCCCAAAATAATTAGGAATTTAAATGAATCGCTGTACTCAACATTTTGACACCCAGATTAGAACCGGTATCGTGTAAGGTCAAATTTATATGAGTAGGTCAACTTTTATGATAAGTTATCAATTTTACAGAAATGGCGCTATTCAGCGCCACGGACTATTTTTTGTGATACGAATGACTTTTTATCTATATTAATTACGTATTGCATTTACTTATTATAAAATTTATTAATTTTGTTTATACATTTTAAAAGCCCCAACCAATTTACCAATAGAGTTAACGAGGTGTTTCTTGAAATAGACAATTTCGATCCAAATGGGAAATATTGTTGAAATAAATATTGATAATATTATAATTATAATTATTATTAATATTTATAATTGATTTATTTTATCTTTATTTATTAGAATAATCGAAAATATTTGTAGTTTTATTTTTTAAAATTAGAAATTGATAATAAAAATAAAAGTTTTAATGTTTTTATTTGTAGATTTTGCAATAAATGAGAGCATCTCATTATTGATATATTGATTTCATTTTTAAATTCGATCAAAATTATCTTAAAATATATTTTAAAAAAAAGAAGACATTGGTTGAGTTTTTCTTGCTTTTATAATGGTGAATATTTTAGAATTTCCCTTGGAATTATAATATTTTAACAAAAATACACATTACAATTTACAAAATAACAAATCTTATTTTATATTTTTGGTAACTTTTTTGCTTTTTTAACACAAGTTACTCGGCTAAGAACATATTAAAGTGTACTAGTGCTTGTGGAAGGAAATGATTATAAATTAACGCAATAAAATATATTTTTACATGTATGGGTAATATAAAGTAAATTAGTCGATACCTCCTTTCCTATAGCAAATATTATATTTTAAATTTAGATGAGTATTTTGAGATTTTGAAACATTTACTATATATTTCTTCGCAATGGGTAAAAATTTTATTTGGCATTTATTTGCCTATAGAATAAATTTTACCATATATTTAGTTATTCACGGTAAAAGTTTATATCGATAATAAATTTTGCAGTATATATTCAATAAGTGTTTATTATATTATATTCATCTGCTCCAACGTGTAAATTTATAGTTTTCATTTTAATTTCACAAAGTATTTTTATTTGCTTCATGCAATAAATTCAGCAGATAATGATTATTTTTTCCAAGGCATATTCAATAGTATTTATTTTTCCTTGGTATTCCATCCCCAATATTTTCCTATGGTTCACACTATTTATTTGAACAGCATATATGCTGTTTTCATCTGCCCATTTTAATTTTCAGTATATTCATATTTTTTTTCCAATGATATTGGTCTAAATGTTTGAAGCAGTAAAAGCAATATGCTGACTCTCGTTCAATGGCCTCCGATAAGTGTTTGAGGAGAAGGTATTTTTTATCTTCACAATATATATTTATTTCATGCGCTGTAATTTATCCCGTAGAGTCAGGTCAGACTTAATCATAGGACAACCAAAATTTGAGTCATGAGTGCCAGCTTTTTATGTCAGAATGATTTTTTAAAATTATTATTTGTAAATAATTTATAAATAGGATACAATTTGTAATATATATATTTTTAAGATCATAAACTAAGATGCAAATTTAAGTTAGGTAAATTTTTAATAAGCAAACAAATCCTTGTTTCTCATTCAACACGCCCGTTGAGAAATTAGAAAGGTTGAAAAGTTTATTTTTAAACCCTCTATAAGGAATAGTCATTGGGAGAGTAGATTAGAAAGCTCTCAGGGAGTATTTAAAGTTTATTCTACTCATGTTGAACTGACCTGTAATGTGCCTTTAATAGATTCTTCGTGGAAATAAAACGAAATTAAAATTTATCATCACAGCTTTTCTGCCATTATTTCTATCTCCACGCTAAAAAAAATAAATAAGATAACCATTTCATTAGCTATAACATAAGGTTACTAAATTAAATAATATTCCGATATTTCGCACGCTACCTCTTATAATGTAGGAGATGGTCACACTTCTGCTGTAACAAATTTTATACCCTTTTTTACCAAATAGCAGAATAAAATGGCGGAGATGAGGGTAACACATAGTATTTTCAATTTTTCAAAATATATTATATATATAGCAAATACGTTATAAGCCGTAAAAAAAAGTAATCGTTCACAACAGTATGAACCCAACTAACTACAATTAGAAATCTATAAGTCGTGTGAAAAAAAATATTGAATCCATTTATTTAAAAATTTTGCTTGGCCCGCCCTCTCAATATATAAAATATTTAATTGGTTTTTTTTAAACTTACCCCCCCCCCCCTTTCTCTTCATTTTACGCGAGAATTATTTCAAATTTACCCACCCACCTGTTGTTTTAAAATTATTTTTAAATATGCTAAGTTTTCCAAAATCTTTATATTTTAGCCCGATCCCCGCGACGGACCTTTAATGTATGTAGTAGGGGTTTAGTCGATCTGGGGTTTTAGGAAATTGTTAACACTTAAATCATTTATTAGATTATTTTTTTTAATAGCTCCAATTTTTCTGGAATTATATAAAGTAACCTACTCTGTAATATTCAGACACCTTTACTGTGTTCCTTTAAAAAATTACACTTAAATTATACTAATTTTTATACCTCAGGTTTATACATAATATACACAAGAATTGGACGAAATTATACATGCTAGAGGTCACATTTAAGCCAACTCTGGTTATAGACAAAAACAACAAAAATACCAATAACATCTCCCACTTATGATTTAAGAACTTTTGTTAGTAAAAGGGGGATATATTTATCTTATTTTTACATTCATGTGTCTTGTCTCCAACCCCAATAACCAGGTAAACAAGGAGGAAAGTCCACCAAAATAATATAAGAGTATATCTTATGGGAGGGGGGGGGGTGTATCACTCCTCACTTAAGTAATTTGAGGAGTATATTATGCCACCTCTCTTTACTTTCGTGATATATTCATTGTTCTGAGATAATGACACTAGAAGACGAATATTTTATAAACTTGAGTTAAGAGTTCAACTAGAGGATGAATATTTTATGAACTTGAGTTTGCCAATACTTTCGAGGTATATAAACTCGTTATAAAGGGCTCGCTATAAAAGTTTTACGACATTAAACTCAAAAATGATCGCGGTTTAGATTTCTAGGAAATAGATTCGTTCGCGATAATGAGTTGGCGATATTGACCTTGTTATACATGTTTTTCGAGGAAAAAATTTTCCCGAATTGGTTTGATATTACCTCCGCTCTATAAATACCTTCTCGATATACGTTATAAAGGATTTCGCAATAAATATTTCGCTTAATTTATAGGTCTATTCTATCTCCTATAGATATAATGCTAGAGTTCTTTAAGTGATTTTAAAAGTTTGGGTAAAACAGCAGGAGTAAAATTAAAACCTACAGCAAATACAATTTTTTTTTAAAAAAAAATGTCTCACACTCTAATTCGAATTATAGCAAAATTAGGTTTTATTTAAAAAAAAAATCGCATTATAAATGATTTAAATTTTAAAATTATTCTAAAATCCCAGATTGACTAATCACTTAAGATGGTGACTTAGCGGATTAAATATACATTTTAAACAAGAGACGGGCTGGTATCTTTAAAATAAATTTTCGGGTAAAATGATCAGAAAGAAGTAAAAAAGAATCAAAACATTATATTTTAAAAATTATCCGGACGGGCGGGTGGGTAGGGCCAAATAAATTTTTTTGAAAAATGGGTTGGAGGGTAATATTTTTTAAATTATGATGGGCAGTTGGGTAGAATAAAAACGTTACTTCACTAATTATATATATTTAATATAATTTTTTATGGTAAATGATTAGATATTACATAACAAATGACCCCAGCGCAACTCATTTACCAAATTTAAGATACTGTTCTAATGCCAGTATCAATTTATTTTTAAAATAATATTTATTTAAGGATATGTCTTATGTAATTGAAAACGGGGAATTTAATATGTATTGTTATAGGTCATAATAATCATTTAGCCTTGATTTGATTAGGAAAGTATTTTATAGTTATCATATTATGATGATAATATTCAGCCTATTTTGTAATATCATCAGTTAACGCGCCGAAATATTTAATAATAAGCTCATATATCATCAAATTCCATCAAAACAATTATTTAGGATTAAAAGAATGATCTATCCATTTTGAATTCCTGATGTTTTAAGAACAATCACATTTAAGAAAAAAATGAGATAAAAAAAACTATAAATTTCTTAAATTATTATAATTATTATACAAATCAAATTATATTTTTTTTCTGTTAATTTTCCACAAAAAGGTAATTTTAAAATTAGAATACATAACAATCATTATAAGGTATTAATAAATCATCTCCTATAACTAATAGAATAAAATAAAATTTTTTGCATAAATATGAAAGCTTTAACTGTTTCTCCATACTTATTTTTCTTAAAAAAAATGTCAGGGATTTTGACAAAATTTTTTTTCTATCTCTTAATATTTCAAGATCTAGGAGCTTATTTAGACTTATTAATTAATTCAACAGCTAATGAACAGCATTCTGGCAATGGGAGCTCACAAAAATTCGGATTCTCTTCCTTCATCAACACCTCTATAACTTATAACACGTCTATAAAATTAACACTTACGACTAGTAGCAGTAATCATGACTCAGATGACCTTAACGATATTAATGACGCAGAAACTATTAAAGAAAAAGAAAAAATTAATATATCTCTAAAACCAGTTCAAGGTAAGAAAACAGTTATAGATGAGCATTTACCAACAGCTACTAAAACTAAAAATTCTGAAAAACACACTACTAAATCAACGAATACCGATACAAAAGGTGAGTTGATAAATATTTTGCTTTATAAATTTTTTTAATGGTTTAAATTCCTTATTCAGTTTAATTTTAACATGATTAATTTGGTCTTAAATATGATCCCCTTATAATATGGGTATAATGTGGAGAAATGATCAAATTTATCCATGTTACGGGGCTTTAATTAAAATTATAGGCATCAAAACGGTAATATTCAAATTATAATTTCTTTGTTATGAGTCTTACCTCATACTATTATAATCACAAATTTATATTGTATTAAGTTATGAGAATAAAAATATCTTCTTAAAAATAATCAGGAACTCGATGTAAATTGCAACATACGAATGTATCAGATTTATCAGGAGAACGAGAAGAAATCGCGCAATCTCCATTTATGCCGAGCGCGGTGCTTGGAGAGTACGAATCTATGAGATCGCCCTTTATAGGTGCCTTCCTTAAGTTCCTAGGCGAGCAATATGAAGATATCCACGATTATCCTTACAGGTTCACTCTATCTATACTTTCAAAAAAAAATCCTATCTAGAGGAAAAAAAAGATCTCAACTAATTAATAAAATTAGAATCTTTAATAAAAATTTATATATTCTCCTAAATGAAAATGACTTGTATTTTAGAAAAAAAAAAATTCTTAAAAATGCTATAAAAAATTTCTCTTATTCATTAAAATTTCCAGACTGAAATATGTAGTGCAATTATTTTTGTCGCAATAAATCGAAAAATATAAAAAACAAATTTTAATTCATTTTTTAAAAAATAATGAAAAGGAATTGACAATTTACCACTATTGGCGGATTTGGTTACATTTGATTTATAATGTATATAGATTGTTTTTCCATTTTTTAGAGTGATTTTAAAATTATGTATATTAAAAAATTGGAAGATTTTTGCTAGATATTATTAATTTGATATTTTTGTGGGAAGTCTATGAAATTCTCATTCAGGCGATCAGTAACCACAACATTAAAAAATATGATTTTTTTAATATGTTTCGTTTTCGAAAAATTTTTTGCACTTGATTATTTAGGACGCATCAATTTGAAACCATATATTATTATAATCATTTAATCGTTATTTAGTTTTAAAAAAAAACCTTAGAATCTAAATTTTTTTAGCGAAAATATTTTAGATTCTACATGCTTAATTATTATTTAATCCCAAAAAATCATATTCCTCGCCCTTTTTATATTTTATTACAGACTCCATAAAAGTTAAAATTTAGAATATTAATAGCAATTTCTTCTTCATATATAAAATTAACATATAATAAAATATTAAAAAGTGTATCTATACAGACAGTTAAGGGTTTTAATTCTTTAATAAAATTTTAATAGGTCCGGGCATTAAGATTTTGATATGTATATATTTTTTTAAATTTCAAGCGAATATTTTGATTTTGATTATTACTATTTGAAAATAGATAGCAATTATGCTTAGTTCCTTTAATTTTAAAAGCTATTTAACTTAAAACTTAAATCTATCAATAAATAGTAAAAAATTACAAAAAAAAATTAAATTAATGCAAATCAACTTACAAATACAGATTATCAAACACAATTGATTTATAAAAACCCTTGTGTTAAAAATAGATAACCATAGAAAGGATATAAGAGCGTTAAATCACATTGAAGGGGAAAAAAATTAGATATAGATATTAAAAATGTGATGGCTGGATAATTGGTAAAAAAAATATTCAACAGCCAAAGAGGATTTTTTGCAAAACTTTAACGGATCGGACCCTGAATTTTCGTTTAATTTTTACAAGCCTTAGCCGGATAAATTAAAAAAATTCCAATGGGTGGGGGCGGGCCAGACTAAGATTAAACGGGTCCAAAATTCGAGCAAGGCCGAAGAGAGCTGGGCCGAACTTCGCAGATACCTATTTCTATATATTTTTTTATATTCCTTCTTTCCTTCTTTTATTGATTAAGTTATTCTTTTGTCAATTTTCTGACAGAATCCATTTAATATATATATATAAATGAATATAATCATTTTTTTTATTTCTCACAAGGGAATATGATTTGCGCGAATTTTGCGGAGATTATTTTTGTACCCCTTGGAAAATTGTTTGTAGAAATAATTTTTACGAAGTCAGACAGTATCTTAATATCACAGCAATCAAGGCTTCATCCACTGGTAAAATATTAAAATAAGTTTTATCAAAAAAAAAAGAAGCAGATCTTTAAATTATAATTATAATACCCGTTGTTGAGAAGTTTAAAATGCTGATTCAATTAATGCTATATTTTTATATATTTTTAAAATAAGCGGCTATCTCATATTGATGGTTTGGTTTTTTTTTAAAATTATACCATGAAATTCTGATAATAATCAAAATATTAAAACTAATCTGTTATAAAGAAGAAGAAGAAAAAATATGTATACCGTGCAATTCGTTTTAATTTTTATATTTTTTTTGTAATGCAAAGAGAAAGTAAGGTTATATTATAACTTAGATAAAGAGAACTTGAACTATATATCATTTAATTTTTCTTACATTGGTCAATTACTTATATGGCAATGAAACCATAATAGCCTATTGAAGGTAATCCTTAGAGATATTATTTCATTTTTTTTATATTAAGGTATCTATTATATATATAAGCGTATAAAATTTCAAAAGTGTAAAATATATGCAATAAATACTGATTTTCATAAATCTTTAAAAATAAATTTATTTATTTACTTACGAAGGACAAGAATATACAGATAAAGGATTAACCCCAGCTGTTATTAGACTTTTACGTTATTTTATGGGAGAAAATGACAGAAGTAAGTCACTTTTTTAAAACTATATTTTAAAACTCTTGGGTCGAAACTCATGAGTATCTTACAATTAAGATATTACGACTTTTTGTATAAAAATGCTAACCTATATTATCATATTATTTTTTTAAACCAAATTAATCTAATTTAAATCTCTTTTAATCAAAATTAATAACAATAGACAGGATTTAAGTTGAAGGGGAATAAAATTAGTTAATTTAGGTCGTTTTTAATTTAAAAAATAAATATATAATAAGGCTTATTTTATATTTTTAAGTTCATAATAACTCCATTTGTATTCATTCCTAGACATAACCATAAATATGACCACTCCGATATTTATTGATCCACCTACCCGATCCATAAGTGATAATAAACAAGAATTTATGGAACTTTTAAATGGAGGCCATGGGCCCTCAGTCTTCTTAGACGTTCATCCCCCTTATGTAGTCGATACTCCGAAACCTACTAACCCATTGGTTTCTTTTTAATTATATATTATACTATATCACATATGTTTGTGCATATTTTTTATAAAAATTTTAAATGACTAAAACATTAACGTCAAAATTATCTAAAAATTCATAGGGTATTTTGTATTCTAGAGGTCTGCAAAATGATTTTTACGTTTGAGCTTAACCAGAGCCCGAAATCAAAAAAATTTTCTTAACCCCACCACAACCTAGTTAAATATTTTTAAATGAGTGAAAATATTATAAAATCTAAAAAACAATTAAAAATTATGATTACCTTAAATAAAAGTTTATTTGACCACCATAATTTAATTAATATTTATATTAAGTTTTATTTTTAATTAAATATTAAACATATGCCTTTTATTCAGTTTAAATATTAAAAAGTTAAAATACCATCGAATTAAAAAAATTATAGCGATTATATAAATATAAATTATAATCAATAATATCACATAGTGAGTGATATAAATAATGAGGAATCGAGTTTCTCAGGCCTAAACAAGTCCTCCTATCCCTACCAGCTGCTTAAAGCGCTTTTTTTTATAGCTAGCTGAGGAAGGGATAGCCAAGAATTTAAGAGCCAAAATACTTAAATTGGGAAAGTCGTTGTGGTAAATCTTCCATCAATTTAAGATGTGGTAAACGATTTTAAATATTGAAAGTTTTGGACTATTTAATTAAATAGATATTAGATAAATATATTTCAATTAAACTGATAAAATATGATGTAAAATAAAATTGAAAATGACATGTTATTCTAATTCACACATTATGAATTAAAATGATTATTTAGGATAGTTATATTTATTTGTCGGGTAGATTTTAGGGTCGAACACTCCCAGAGCTGAATCCAAGCCCGAAAATAAAGTCTTTTATATCTGAATCCGACCCGAGCTCCGGATGGGTCGGGCTAGACAACCCCTGTGGCCATCTATTGTAATCCAAACATTATATTTACAATAAAATCGCATTTTCAATTACCAAAAGTTCAAATAAATAATTTAAAGTCGAAAAATAACACTGTCTGAAAAGATTCATTGACGATAACATATTTATTATATTTTAAAATAAAATAACACATAGGTTAAAATAGTGAGATATAATACCCCGGCGGCTTATGTTAGAATGTTTGGTGGATATGCTCTTCCTACTACTTTTGTTTCTAAAGCGAGAGAATTGCTCAATATTTTGGAGTTGAACAAGCAAATAGTGACCTTCAATCTTTCTTACGTAACCTATAATTAGTAAATGATTATCATTATAATAGTATTTGTAATAACCTCCCTTTAAAAAGTTTTAAAAAAGTAGGGGAGACCGGGGAAGATTTCGAACCTCAATCAATTTTATATTATCAAAATAATTTGGGTAAATAAACTGAATCCCCAAAAGCTATTTAAAATAGTTAATATAGTTATAGTAACTATTACAATGGTTACGTCGGTCTAACGTGATGTGATTTATGGTTTAATGAATAAATTAAGGTCGAAATAAAAAAATTTAACTTTCTTTTGATTTCAAAATATATTAATTTAGCTATAATATCATACATAATACGTAATATAATAAACAAGTAAATTAAATTAATAATAATAATTAATATTTAAAATTGGTATTATAATATTCATTTAAAATAATTTACGTTTCATAAGCAATATAAAATATAAATAATTGACTAAATCATTAATTGCTATTTTCAAATGAATGACAAACAAATTTTGTCTGCTTGATATTCTATTGAATTGACATTTATACCTATGGACGAATTTAGCCTCATATAAACTATTTGATGCGTGATTCAGGGCCCCTATTATATTATGGGTACAACTTAGCAATGGCAGGCTATCTTATTATTCTATGAAACTGAAAAGGCGTGTTATGAGATATTTCACCTCGTGCAGTGGCTCCTACAACAGGGAGGGGGGTCCGAAGCAACTGCTTCTAAAAATTTGTGTGGTGTTTTTAAAAAAAATTTTTTTTTTAATTTAATTCTTTTTTGTTTGCTACATCCATCTATAATCAAGGATATCTAGTTTATGAATATAATAATAAGACCCCCTCCCACCCCCACTTTTAATTTAATATGTATTGAAGGAAATTTTGGTCGATGTTTAGTAAATTAGTTTGTTATCCAAGATTTCTTGTCATAAAATTATTTTTCCAATTTCAAAATATGCCCAAAAATATTAACCAAAATAATACAAATGCTTAATTAAAAATTACACATCTCATAATATAAGAGATGATAAATGGACAGACCACATTTGGAAAAGACATGGTGGGCTTTTAACGATATAAAGAAAAGCTTTGTAATAGTAGCTTTTTTCCATATTACAATTTATAATACCCCAGAAAGAATGTGTGGACAATAACCGTTCTATTATAAGAATAATAATAAGATGTCTAGGTTATTTAATATCTCGTAACCAAGCCTTCTGGGAAATAGGCAAAGAAGGCAATATGATGGGCCTTAATAAACTAATTGCAGATTCCGAACCTGTTGTCAAAATGTATTTACAACAAAATGAAGAAAGAAGGTAGAAAAAAATAAGGGAGTAAAATGTAAATTATATTCAAATCTATTATCATATAATAACAAAAATATTCTCATTGAAACCATGAAAAATATGATTATAAAAATAATTCAAAAGAAGATTGAATATAACAGGTGCTTAGTAATATTTATTGAAAATAGTGAGACGCCTAACCCTGTTGAAAGACTGATAGATATATATTATGCAGGAAATACATCTGGTCTCGATATTAAAAATAATATAATATCCAAACTTGGCTCCATGAATCTAACCCTCAAATTCCTAGTTGAAAATTATGACGGAGCTTCAAACATGAGTAGAAGAATCAATGGAATGCAGGCTTTGATTAGAGCGGAGGCGTCAAAGGCAGCTTTTATTTGGTGCTATTGTCATCGATTAAATTTAATCATTGTTCAATCATGCCAATCAATTAAAGAACTCAGAAATATTTTAGGAATATTTGATGAGATTTTTGTATACTTTAATGGCGTTAAAAGATATGAGGTGCCGAAAGCATGTCAGAGTAATGTACTGACAAAATAGCAACGATTTCTACGTATCAAAAATTGTTTATTTTATATTTATAGAAGCTGGCTATCATCATACAAAGCATTTGTAAATTTTTTCCTACTTTATGATGCCTTGAGGGCAACTTTGACAAATTTAAAGGATTCTGAAGATCCTGCCACTTCCACTAAGGCTAGTGCTATAATCTTTAGAATAGAAAAATTTTATTTTATTTTATCACTTTGTGTTTTGGATAAAATATTGCTGATAACAAGCTTGGCTTGTACAAAATTACAAACCATTTCGAAGGATATATGGTTTGCAATAAATCAAATTCAATTGCCTGATTAATTTGAGAAATATAATTTAAATTGTCTTTAATTATTTTTTAATCTTAATTAATAATAACACTGAATTTTTGGATGTTTTTTCAAAAGCACAAGATTTTATGAAGGAGAGAAATCTACCTTTTCATTTTGAAAGTTCTAGACTTCAAACATTCCAATCCAAAAGGAGAGATATACACTTTCATCATTTTTATTTTAGCTTTAAAATCAGTGTTTTATGCTGCGATTTTTGATTTGATTATTATGCAGTTTAATGAAAGATTTAATGATAAATCAATGAAATTTTTAAATCAAACATCATTTTTTACACCAAAGGGAATGGTGGAATAGTCAATTGTTAAAGATGATATCGAGGATATATGTGAATTTTATCATTTAAATTCAAGTCAAATTTTTGAAGAAATGTTGAAATATTTATAAGATGGCTAAAACAGGGAAGTAAATATTACTCGTGCCCTAGAGGTTAAAGAATTTAAAATAGATTCTGAGAATTGTGAAATATTTATACTAATACATTATAACTTCTTCTTCTGATGATAATTCTGAGACTTATGATTCAGACTGGATAAACTATTCTTTTATTTTACCTTATCGTCTACTTTAAAATTTTTCTGCTACCCCTAATTTAACAATTATATAAATATTTATAACCATTCCTACTACCTCATGTATTAATTAAAACAAGATTACGTAGCACCATCATGAAAGATCCATTTATCAATAATTTAACCACTTTATCAATGGAAAAAAATTTATTTAAACAATTAAATATTGATGAGATTATAAATTCTTTCGCTTTCTCTTCCCCTAATTTATCTAAATTATTAATTTTAAAGTAAATATTTTTTTTTTATTTATATTATGTATTAAAGATTGATGCAATAAAAATTATTTTTGATTATGGGTGTCAAAAAATAATTAACTATTTTTTCGAAGGGGGGGGGGTTACTTTTCAGGGGGGTATTCTGTTTCCATCCCTCAGAAAGTGTAGGGGCCACTGACCTAGTGGTTTATAAGAAACATTGTACCCCGAATTAACTCAAGATGTTTATTTAATTTTAAAGTTGGTTTTTGGTTGAGTTTAAGTTCAATTTGTATATCGGTGGATACTTTAGGGAAAAAGTGTCATAGATCACTATTTATAAGGTTAACAAGGCCAATTATATTTACTAAAAAATGTTTACTGAAATTTGCTCGATTAGATGCTAAAACTAAAGTTGTGTAATAGCAGGAAAAATTATTAAAGTGAATCCTAAGCCTCAAGATAAAGTGAGCATTTATAAGAGTCAATATTAATATATTTAAGGATTTTTTGGAAAAATTTTTATTATTAAAGGCTAATTTTAATATTATTTTTTTACGGGATTTTTTTAAATTCATTATTTATATATAAATCATCATTGAAAAATATATAATTAGTTAAAAATTACGAAAAAAAAAATCATAATAACAAAAGGACAATATTGAGGCATAAGCGAAAGCAGCAGAAATTATTCCAAACCTCCTTCATCTAATCATCAGGAGAGATCGAATTAATAAAACAAACATAATTAGCCTTAAGAATGGCTATTGCGATCCTCTGCCTTAAGTAAAAACGTTCGCGAGGCTCCCCAGAATTTTTTCTGATTAGGCGGCCAACGTCTTTAAATAAGTTTTTAGCCAAATCACCATATGTAGTTAAGGTGGAGCAAATGATGGGTATGAATATGTAATTTGAGGAATCAGCGCTGTATTTGCTGATCTTAAAATTTTGAGCTCTGTTCAGAGCGTCCTTGTTAAAATTAGAGGGGGGGTTAGTGTCCAGACAAGAGAAATCCCATATTAAAAATTTTCCTTGATACCATGGAATACGTGTGACCCCATCAGAACGCCTACTATCGGAAAATAAGCCAGAAGGCTCCATTGAGGTAGGAAAACCAGCTGACCTAAGTGCAAGAGATATAATTTGATTGCATATCAAATGTCGAGTTTGCCGGCCGGGATTACGATTGCAATGTAAAGGATGAAGCGCCATATTGTCATCAACAGTATGACATTTGCTGCATTTATATGGTAATGAAAAGGGAATGTTGAGCCTGATACATAAAACATAACTGAGCTCATGGTTGTCCAATTCGAGTTTGAGATTGGTAGATGGAATATCTAAAAATTCATATCCCCGATCTTTAATAAGTTCAATAAATGGGGATCTAGCCAATGGTGAGAGACTCCAAATAAGGTAATCAACGGAGTTTTTCACAAGTGGTAAATCTCAATCCTTCTGCTTCACAGAGATCGGAAATAGGGTTGAGGTTGTGACGGATTTTGCCCATTCTATCTTAGCTGTATTCAAAAAAGGATCGTTGTAATTTAAAAATATTAATATCAAACTTTTTTTCCTTGATGTTTTATGAAAATCTTCCCCTTTATTCACTTACTTATCCATTTTATGAATTTTACAAACTTAGGAGTCACCTTATAATTTTATACTTTATTTAGCCCCAACCAATTTCAAGGAAGACACAACGAGGTGATGTTTGGAATAAACAATTTCAATCCGAAAAAAAAATATTGTTGAAATTATTATGATATAAATTTTATAATCCATTTGAATTTTTAAAAAAAATAATCTTTTAAAATTTATATTCGTTAAAAATCTGATCATGTTTTTTTATTTGTAATAGATACATAAAGTAAAAATCATTAAATGTTATATATTATATACATAAATATGAAATAGTTTAATATCATTTAGAATTTAATTTTTAATGTGATTTTTTGAAATTATTATCTAATCACTATTATTTTCAAGTTTTTATATTTTATTATTTGAACGCAATTTGAAGTATTATAAATTAATATATTTTAAAATATAAATAAAGCATTTATTTATTAAATGTAATTTAAAAAAAATAAATTTATTCATAAAGTTTTGAACTAACATGAAACATGAGTGCGTTCGATTTTTAGATTATGTTAACAGCACTACTATTTAGCAGTTATCCAACATGAGCTTTTTGTTAAAATAATTTTAAAAATACAAGTTTTACTGTATATATATATATATATAATATCTATATAGGATGAATTTGAAAGAGCAAAATGCCACTTTTCGTAAATTTAAAAATAAAATTCATCTCAAAAGGATAAAATCCAAACTATAATCTATTTGATATATTATTTTTATCAGAACTTTTTTCCCCAAAACTAATAATTATTATTGGTTTTGTCCTAAGTTGTGTTGTTAAACGGTCTGATTAAGATTTTAGCCAACTCGAGATTTGGCAAAGAGAGTTCCAAACCTTGCTGCTATTTATGAGAAAAACTTCAAAGTTTATATAATACCTAAAATCTTTTAGCAACATTAGTCCTAAGAATAAATACTCAGGTCAGTCCTAAATTTTTTTTATATCACATTCATTTCTCATAGTATATCATTTCAAAACAATTTGATCGAAAAATTTTTATACACCCAGGCCAGGTCGAAATATTTTTACAAATCCAAACAGAAACATCTGTCCTATTTATAAAAAAAATATAAGAATGAGTGTTTAATAATTTCACTAAGCCCAACTTACAATAAGGCCATTAACTGCCAGTTATAGTTATGAGAAATCTATAAAAATATTAAAAGTTAACTGAAGAATATAATACGATTATTTATTTGACGCGATTTGATATATAAATATTTTCGTAATGATAGTAATAGTAATCATCAATATACAAAAGAAATAGCAAATTATAATCTAATATTATTAGGAGTCTTATAACAGGACAATATTTTATATATAATTAAGTTTCATAGATAACGAAATATATTAACTTTATAAATATTATCGCTCCCGTATCATATATACATTAAAGAATAGCGCGTATCATATATCCTCGGGTACTTAAATTCCTCCATATTCTATGCATTTGGAAGGGTCAGCTATAAAAAGCCTTTGATTAGCAGTGAGGATTCTCTTCAAGCCTTGAACGTACTTGCGTTGAGTCTCGTCATTTAGCACGTGGGCCACGTGCTTGCTGGCGATTCGCTCCCGGCCAGTCCTCACATGGATGCCTGGCATAGTCACGCCTATGGGCCAAGGGGCATTACCAATCGCCATCTGTAAGTAACATTCGTTAGCCTAAATCCCGCCCAAATTTTTTATAAAAAATAACCATTTAAACTTTGATTTCCAATCTAATGATCTTTCTCTTATCCCCCCCCCCCAGGGTGTATCAAAAAAATTTCTAAATGCAGAAAACGTAGATTTTATTTTATTAATTTTTATTTAAAGTTAAGTAATTCCTGTCTTATTTATACACTGTTGGGAACAAGATTTTCGCCCAATTTATCAAGGCATTTTCTAATACATAGTAGTTTATTTATATAAATTTGATTGGGGACTCAAAAAATTTTTAAATTAGGGAGTTGCCTAAATTAAATAAGTTTTACTGCATGACTAAAAAATTTATTAATAAAAAAAATTCACGATTTAATAAAATATTTATGCATTATTTGTGGATTTAATGTTTATTCGATTACCTTTATGAATTTATAATTACCATTAAAAGACAAATAATTTGAGATTAATTTTTATGACCCTTGAAAAATAAATTAGTTACAACTTTTGTCATTATAAATAAATGTTCTATAATTTTGTTTTACTTTGATTAATTTAATCATAAACTCACCTTGGCAAATAATGCATTTAAAAAAATAATCATATTTGACATATTTTTAACTGTTAATAAAATTTTAAATAGTTAATATTGTTATCAAGTTAAAGTTGAGAGGTGTCTTACAACATTAAAATATTAATACCGCCTCATAAATATAAATGTAATTTTTTTTAAAATTAAATTAGATATTTTTTTGTAAGGCGTTCTAGAACGTTCCGGAACATGGAACGGAGCACATTTTTTGTGGCCGGAGTAGAAACGGATAGCAATGCTATAATTTCGGGTCCAGAATAAAAAATTGTTGAAGTAAGCTATAAAAATTAGAATATTAATTTAACTTAAAAATTAATTTAAACCAACGATTCTAAAATTTTTTTTTGATGTTATTAGCTATTCAAATGGAATTGATTGTAATATACTTTTTCTTCTTATAATCCTCCTTTAATTAAATAACACTTTTAGAAATGGTCAATGCCTATCACAAGCTGCATGAAGCATTCGCTGCTATGCTTACCCCAAAAATATTTAATATTTAATATATTCATATCTTTCATTATTATTTTTCATCGAGCATAGATAAAGTACCTTAATATATTCCCTAGCCAAGGCATATCTTACGATTTCAGTCAGACTTTCGAGTATGTCACTTTGGAGAGACCTCCGTTTGAGCCTTATAAAGAGGGGCTTGAGGTATGTTCGCGTTTGAGTGTGTTGAGCTGACGCCATCTTGCCTTTGACAGTGGATTTAACTTGGAGTGGGCGGGCGTTGAGTTCGCGAGCCCAACATTTCAATATGAACTAAATGAACAAAATTAAATGAATAGAAAAAAAATAAATAAAAGAATATTATAAAAAAGAAAACTAACCTTCAAATATTTTAAAATTATGGCAGAATCCAAATCGGTGCTCCCTTTTCCCAATTCTTTTGACATTTTCTGTGGAGTAAAATGTGAATAAATTATTGAGAAAAAAAATTACATTTTTTATTATTATAAAAAAGAATAAAATACTTTATGCCATTGCCATCCTATTACTTTCTTTTTTGTTAATAAACTTGTTTATATTATTTTTCCATTTCTCCCCATATTTACCAATATATCGTCTATAGTGGTACTGTCCTCGCTGACTTTGACATCGTTCGCTGTCATTTTGATTTTGTTAGTATGTCCATCAAGAGAATTATCTATATCTTGGTCACTTTTTTCCAGGGCTATTTGAAAATCGTTTCTGAAACCCTTGAGAATGTATATAATAAAAATTAAATGAGGAAAAAGTGTTGTTTTCCCTTATATATTATTATATATACAAACATAAGGTATCATTGGCTGGGCTTATTTTTTTTCTGACAAACCCAAACTTGGCCGAATAATTTTTTTGAATTGTATCGATTAACTAATTGAAAAATTAAAAATGAACAAAAAATGTTTTTTTTTAAACCCAGGTTAGAAGATAGGTATTTTAATAGATTTCTGATATATATTAGAATCCTTAATAAAAATGAAGATATAATTGTATAGCCGTATTAATTTGTACCAGACCCAATTTTTATTATTATCATATGATAGCAATTCGATTTTCAATATTAAAAAACATCAATGAATGCATTTTAAGTTCAACACCGCTGATTTTTCTCGCTAGCCCTACCTTGGAAATTGCTGTTGTAGTCAGGGACCCGGAGAGGACAGAAATAAACTGCGAAACCGTTATAAATATCTGGACCGTAACCAAACCAATATAATTATTTTTTGAAGGGGTAAAAAGAACTTTTATAAAAAATTTAAAACGGTTTCACCCAAAATAAAATAAATAATTTTCATTTTTTTACATTCTTTTCCTTGTGGTTGTTTTTTATATATTTTACTATATCTCCTATAATTATTAAATAATCAAAATATTTGTATGACATCCTCTGAGACCCGAACCTTTATTTATAACAGTTCAATTTGGTCATGGTTCAGTAATATATAATATTGGTTGTGGTTCTTAAGAAATTTTTTTTACAAAGTTTTGGTTCAGCAATTGTAAAGGTTCATTACAGTCAGAATTTTTTTTTTATTGAATAATGATTTTAATTATGAACATGCCATCACTAATTTATTTTAATTATAAGCATCTATGAATTATATAAAAAAAATATATAAGTTTCATAACTCATTTTTAAATATATTATTTGAACAATATATATTCTAAACTAAGTGGATTCATATATGTTCATTGTGACGTTAACACAAATTTTAGCCCCAAAAAGGTCCTACAGAAACTTGTGTTGTGAGAACCACCAGTGCTAGCATTTCATTTAGCCATCAATGATTGTATCAAAACATCATCAGATTAACTATTGATAATTAATAAAGCTAGATCATTATGCAATAAAATTTGTACTCATACCATTAAATATTCTAACATACCTAAATAGTTTTAAAAAAACCCTGAGATGTACTAGGTGGAATTCTATCTACCTCATGCTAAAAAGATTGGTAAAATTAAAAGGATATGTGATGAAATGGAAATGGATGAAAGCATTGATCTATGTGAAGATGAATGAGAAATTAATAAGGATATTTAAAAGCAATGAAACCCTCTGATAATTAACAAAGATTCTTCAAACTGAACAATTAACATTGGGAAATTTTTACGCAACATGGCTAAATTGTCTAATAGAAACATAAAAGGTACAAACACCCTTTTCTCACCATCTTTCTACATGTATCAAGGCAAGAGATACTAATATTAAAAATGATGCATTTTGTGTGACCTTATACATGAACCCAAGTTATCAGATATTGCTGACAGATGCAGTGTTGTTAAACAGCTCGATTCGAGTCGATTTTTTTAAAAATAAATATAGAAATAAAATCATGAAACATTTTTGTTTAAAAAAAACAGAGCTGAGATAACAACTCTAAAGATTTTAGTGAATTTGAACCCTTTTTTAAAATGAGAATTAAAAATCAAAGGTCAAGATTTTGATTTAGTCATAATTTTTTATTTTGAAAAGAGCTAAATGAGGAAACTTTAATTTCCAGAAAATCTGAAAATTTTCGATAACATTGGTTATATTTTTTGATGCAATTTCCTGAATCATAGAAATGGTAGCTTCATCAATATACCTGCCTATTATTAAATTCATCCAAATTAATATTATTTACTTTATACAATAACATTATCTTTTAATAAATAATACTCTAAAGCAAGGGTCAATCATTATAGATATTATATATATGTTTATGAATTATATTATTTATTCAGTTTCACTAAATCAGCTAAAGATGACCATTATAATAGCATTAGGACTATTATTATAATCCTGAACATGTTCTAAATACTAAAATACAGGGAAATAATAATTGAAAATGATAAAGTCACCTCTGTACCAAAATGATATGGTTCTAGAAATTTTAAATTAATTTCTATATTATTCCAAGCTAAAGCAATGAAGAAACCTAAAACATAAATATATATTTATCTATTTTTAACTTATATCAAACTAATCTTTTAATGTAATTGGTAAATATTTGATTTTATATTCATAAAACAAGAATATATTTGTATTGGCCCCACCCCTAGATCTCACATTGGAGAAGAAAGCAGTAACATCACTAGTTATGGTAGTAAAAAAAGTAATTTAAATTATAATTATTTGAGACCCCTGTATTGTAAAGACTAGTGACACCCCTGGAAGAATGTTTAGTCTCTTAAGATATTCAGATAAAAGGAGTCTTAAAATCAATGAGAAATATATAATTCAAGGCAGTTAAAAGAAATCAACATTCAATATATTTGCTTGGAATTATTTAATCATGATCAATAAATGTATGTCATTAATAAGTTTATTACTTTGTCAAGCTCAGGTTTTATCATTTCAATACTCTTAAGCCTTTGATATGCTTCATAATCTGTTTCACTAAATAATCGTATAGGTTGATCTCTTTGTCTTAATTGAGCTATTACTTCTTTTCTATGAGGAATTTTAACCTGTATAGACAATGATATTTCGTTTTCATTAACTGAATTTGATTTATGATGATTTTGATCTTGTTCTTGCTTATAATCTTTGTGTTGCAAGGGTTTGATAAATTTTATATCATTTTTTTCTTTAATAACCTTGTGAAAATTAATATTTTGGAATTATATTTATTTGTATTTAATTCACTTGTTTCTGGTTATCATTTAAAGAATGTTGGTTATTTTCTAATATATCAGTTATTTCTGTATATTTTAAATATTTTTTATTTGGATGCTATATAAAAAAAATACTTTATAAGCAAATTATATAAATAATTTTAAAAACTATAATAATTTTAAAAAGTATTTACTATTAATGCGGCTTCTTTAAGTAATCTTTTCTTATTCTCCAAATCTTTCTTCAAAAGTTCCATTTATAAGAAAAAATGATATAAATGTGGTAATGATGTATAGCGTTAAACGTTGTTGATTATTTGGTGTTTTTCTTATAAATTTACCAAGCGTTGGTGACGTATTTTTATTTCCAACCATCCAACAGCTGTTTATTTTCTTCTAAATCTAATAAGTAATTAAGCTTTAATATATATTAATCTATTAAAACGACAAATAACATTATATTCACTCTAATCTAATATCATATTCTTATAAATCATTTCAATCAAATAAATATAAAATTGTAAATTACACAATCACCCATATTAATCACAAATTTGAATAATAAATAAGGGCCTTTGCCATTTGTTGAGTGGGATTATACTGTTCCATTGAATCTAGGTATCAAGTATATACACTCACCATCAGTATTCTGTCCTCTCCATCACAAATTCTATACTATACTATCAAGTAACGGCTCATTGTGTAATAAACTTATTAAAGTAAACAAATTTGGGATATTACCATCTCATAGAAAATTATTTGTCTTCAATCTGGAACCCATCTTATTATCAGCCATTCCTTGTACCCTTAATGCTATTTCTGCCCTGGCCCTCAATACAACTAAAACCCATAGTCACAATTCCCAACTATTGGCTCATATGCTTCCTAGCATAACCTTCTCTACTTCCACTGGCGCAGATATTTTGACGTTAGATCCAGGACTCTACAGATGTAGATTCATTTTTTACGACACTAAAATCATTTATTATTTCACGAAATAGCGAGAAACCTATCAAAAAACTTGATTTACTTGCTAAGTAATTATTTTTCTGTAAAACACTGGCTAGAAACCCTGTCTTTGCCTTTGCTACCCTACAAGCTTCCGATTTTGTCAGCAAAAAATCCCGGACACAGCAACATAAGGATGCAATTTATCCCTTATCCATAAATCACATTTTCACATCCTATAAGGGTGATGACATGGATTATAATAAGAATCACAAAAATGATCTGCTCACGATCAGGCTAATATCTGAAAAACTAGATAACCTGAATATTAAATCCTAGCGCTCATGCTACCTTAAGAACGTATTACCCGCTTACTCTGGAGCTCCTCTAACCAGCTACTTATAGCACAAGCGACGTTATAAAAACTATTCTTTCCTTCAAACGCGATTCCTTGCCTGGGTTTGATGGGTTTCCCCAATATTCCTACAGGATAAAACCACAGATTACGTCACACAGCAACGCGATGTTTTGGAAAAATTTACCCAACTCATCAACCTTATGCTTACTGAAGGCATACGTTCCACTCCTATACCGAGCTACATAGCTCTCCATAAACCTAATAAAGATATTCGCCCTATTGCTATTGGAACCACTTGGGGCCGATTAACCGCCAAGCTAGTAGTTAGCAAAATTGTTCACTTCCAGTCACCTCTGCCTGAATCAATTAGAGGTCACCGCAAAAAGTGGATGTGAGGTATCCCTCTTTAAAATATTTATAGTTTTCCAAATGTATTAAATTAATGTGTATTTTGGCAATGATGCCATTTAGTACAAAGACGAATGAGATGACCTTTTCTTCATTACAGATGAAATAAACATATATCAAAAGTATGATATCTTAAAATTGATTGAATAGACTAGATTTATCATCTAGATTTAATCCCCAACACAAAACAATTTATCAAAAAATTGACGCAAGCAAAGTAGATTAAATATTCTATCAACGATTTTGACTAACTTTTTCAATCATTATAAAATGTTTAATTTTTATTTTATTGTAATTATACCGGTTTATATAGCTATAATATTTTTTTAATCGTATTATATTCACTCTTAGTATTTTCTATTTTCCAATATTTTATTATTTGTTTTCGAAATTATCATATTTTCAAATATGATTGATTTTATTAAATTTTATATGATAATGAATTCTATTAATATATGACAATTAATTCTATAATAATAAGTTCTAATAAATTTTTAATGCTACAAAAAAAATTATTTCAATATAAAAAAATTATCCACCCTCCGTGGAAAATTACTGGCTACGCGCCTGAATGAGTAAGTTTTGTATTGAATTCAGATTATAAAAAATAACACTTTTGCATTCACAAAATTTTGATAGTTGGTATTAGAGCATTAATAATTTAAGTTATTCTATTTAAAATTTATAAAGGGAATGCCATTAAAATTAAAAAGGTTTAATTAATAATGCAGAAATATCAGCGCCATATAGGTTTTTGACAAGGGGTTTGCATTCAGTGAATATCATGTAGACGTGGATGGTATCTAAAACATAAACCCATTGAAGGGTCTTGAAGTTCCATAATATTTTTTCAAAATTAAATATTATATAAACCAATTTTATTTTAAAATTAATCCTACGCGTAATATCCCCTAGCGACACTATGACAAACTTTATCACTCAGTCATTTAATAACGCCACATTTTATCACGGACTTGTTATCAGGCGACACAAGCTTTTATTTATTATATCTTTTTTTTCAAAATTTTTTTTCCATTTTTTTCTAAATTAAAAAAAATGTATATAAAAAGTTTAATTATCAAAATAGATATATAACCATATCATGAAAATTAAAAAATATGAAAAATTAAATATGATATCTATTAAATGTAAATATAAAAAGTTATAGAAAACTAAAAATATTCCGTGAATAGATTTGCAATTGAATCATTCTATTAAGTTTTTAGAAAAAGTAATATTTCAATGCTAAAGTTATTTAGAGCGTAAGTATTGGCAAAATTTGAAGTTTCAAGGCCACAATTGTTAAGATGCATTGATTTGATTATAGAATAAAGCAAAGATGATAAACATAAACATATTATATATTTTATCAGATAAATGCCTCAGATATTGGTGAATTTTGAATGGGCACTAATTACTATTTTAAAATAAAGCGTGAATATAAAAATAAATGATTTGGGACTAATATAATTTATTTTGAGTAAACCTATATCCAAAGACGTAGAAATCTTATTATGAATTATATTTTTTGAAATAAATTATAGGGAAACTAGATTTTTGCAACACCCCTTTATAATGTACAATTGTGGAACAAACACAATTATAGGTTAGATGATACTACCCGAACAATTATGGAGTTAAATCTCTATAGCAATTTTTCACCTGTTTGGAAATATTTAAAGGGTGTCATAAAGATATATACATATACATAAGGTCCTATATATTCAGGTAATAGTAAAACACCGTAACTCTCCTCCCATATGAAGATATTAAAAAACGAGTTCATTGAATATGTTTTAAATTATGAAATTTCAGATTTTTTCACATTTTAAAAACGAATGCCCCTATTTCCTGCAATTAAAATTTTTTATTGATATTTGCAAGACAAATCTTTATCTCAAGTAGAGAATCGTTCTTGAAATATGTATTTTCAATTGCATATTCATTGACCCGTCTATACCTCTATGCCTCTATAATATTTTTAATTTATTATATTTACATTTTATAGAATTTAATTTTTTTTATATTTTTAATTTTTGTCATATAGTTTTTTTATATATTGCTATTTTAAATAATTATACTTTATTTTAAATGTTTTGATACATATTCTAAAAAATAATTGGAAAAAAAATTAATATAACGCATGAAACATAAATTTAAAATACATTTTTTAAATTTAGACCAGAATAAACAAATAAAGGAATGACCCCAGCAATCATTAGACTTTTCTGAAGAAAATGACGGAAGTAAGTCACCTTTTTATTTAAATATTTTAAAATAAGATTTATTGGTTTAAGGGACTACCTGTATACTTTCCAAGAATCAGTAGACAGGGAACTATTTTTGGGTAAATCTTGAGAATTCTACAATTTTACGATATTTAATATAAAATGTCAACCTACTAATGTATTTATAAACCAACTAAACTTAATTTAAATCCCATTTAAATCAAATTTTTAATCTATATACACACGATTTAAGTTAAAATAGAGTAAATTAGATAATAATAATATAAAACATAATAATAAATGTTATTTTTATCTTTGAAATATTCATAATAAATTTGTTTTCTTCCTTAAACATAATCATGAACCTGACAACTTCGATATTGAAGCAACAAATTTGAAACTTTTAAATGGAGATTATAGTCTGTCACTTCATATAATCGATATTCCTAAAACCTATTAACTCATGTTTCTTATAAATATTCCTTATGTTATGCATATACCGCGTACAGACTGAGAGAGGTATCTCAGCAAAACAAAATAAGATTATTTTCTCTTGTTTTTTTTTGATATATTAACTGGCCCTCTCCAATTAAGACCTCAACATTTTCGACCAAAAAGAACAACAAATAATCATTCTATATTCAAAATTTCTGATGATATTTTCAATACAAATAATTTATACTATTTTGGTAAACTCGCCCTATCATTCTTCAAAAATCTAGGCTCTTAAATCTGTAAACTTACCGAAAAACCCCAAGAAGATTTTTTCCTTCGACATAGGCTTGCTATAAAAATTTTAAAATATTTCTATTTTTTTACATGTCAAATTTTACTATCATTAGTATTTTGAATCTATCTCCAGTTTCAGGTTTGTTAATATAATATTCTATTATTTACAAACTTTATATACATAATTTTACACCTAGTGAAACTTCATATTCTCTCTGGGGGTTATCTGAAATAACAAGTGATAGATACCAAAGTTTTAATGGAAGTCTCCAACAGAAAGATTCATATCAATTTAATATAAAAAAATTTTTTATTTTTTTTAAAAAATTTATAAACTTTATTTCTAGTTTTTTTTAAATTTTTAGTTTAGATATATACATATTTTTAAATTGTAAAATATATTATTAAATATCAGAGTTGTTAAAGTATCTAGATATAAAATGTGGTATCTGTATCAAGATAGATTTTTGATTAAAGTATTTGTATCTAGATATTATTTTAGAGGTATCTGTATCTGTTTTTAGATACTTTTTAAGATACATTTTGATATACTTTTATTTAACGCTTTTTTATATTATAATAAAAATACTTGAGGGTAAAATTTAATT